GGGGGGGGGGGGGGGGGGGGGGGGGGGGGGGGGGGGGGGGGGGGGGGCTCGGGCACAACTTTGCTCACTCACCATGTCGACGTCGCTGTACTCCAGGAACGGGTCCAAGTTTGACCTCACAGTCCCGCGGAAGCAAATGGGGTCCTGCATTGTCCGAGAAACACACACACACAAACACGAACACGCGCCAGCCAGGTGATTGGCGGGGGTGCAAGGTCAAGGTTCCGCCGAGAGTATCCTGCTTTGTTTTTGCCATGTCCCGAACTCTCAGCGTAGCCCGGAGCGGTTCATCTACAACAAGTACCCTCGAGGTCTTAGTCGTATCCGCTAAAAGTAACTTTCGTCCGGCGATGTTAAGTCACGCACAGGAACTTGCTCTGCCGAACGTCCGCGCTGGTCTGTCGCACAACCAAGGCCTTCGAGGTCCAAACGAGTCAGGGGTCGTCCACTTCTTGAAACATGGGACTCGAATTCACCACCTAGACGTCGGTTACCTCTACAACACGGGGGTGATGTGCGTGTCGGCCTGGTAAAAATTTGCCATCCCCGACGGCACGGGAATGATCCTCAATAGGGTGAAAAAACTAAGACGCCTAATTCTTGGCCTCGCCAAGTTGAAGCGCACACAATCGCCATAGGACCCTCCCGTGTGACGCAAACCCCTTGTTTTGGCGGGAACAACCTTAGCCTCTTGATGTCTCCCATCCTCTCAGCAATTCGCCGTGCCGCCGATGCTCGAAAGTGTCTCTCGCCGCTACATCGTCCGCGTCGCTCACGTACAGCAACGGTGCGCGGACGGATGTCCGAGTCCCCCACAACCGCCACCAAAAGACAGCCTACGCCTCCGAGACACACACGTTGCGCCCTTTTCGAATCGTGACCCCCATCCAGGGACTTTGATCTTGCCCGCTGGGCACTGGAGTTTTTACATTGGTCAGCCGGTTAGCGCGGTCAGATGCCAACAACACCACACACCTGAGGCACGATCGCTAGCCGCGAACGGAGGTCCGCCAAGCCCATCTTGAGCACGTCCATCCCGTCGATCGTTATCTCGGAGCCGGGAGACGGCTCCACGAGCCGGAAGAGAGCCGTCATCAGGCTAGACTTCCCGGCCCCCGTCCGACCGACGACGCCTACCCGGGTCCGCGGGGCCACGTCGAACGACATCCCGCTGATCACGGGCGCGTCGGTGCTGGGGTACCTGCCGGGTAGGGAAGGAAGCGAATCTGAGAAGGGACCAGCTCTTCAAAAGAAACCAGACGACAGCGGTCTGCAGACATCGACGACGAATAAGGTTTGAAGACAAAAAAGACAGCCACGTGGGTTGCGGTACGAAAACGTTGAGGACTATTTACTATAGTGCTGTATTGTGTGATTCGGACAAAAGACACACCAAGCAAAGATAGAAAGGATACCGAGCTTCCATGAGGCAAGCGCGGGTAGACAAGCCACCAACAATGCACAAGCAGAGAAGAAACAAGAGTGTAGATGGGAGCTCTAGCAGAAAAAAACGAAAATAAAACTCACTGCACGGTCAAATTCTTCACCGAGAGCGCCCCCTCCGACGGCCACGTTGGCGCAGGCCGGCGGCCCTCGACAACCCGGGCTGCCTCTTGGGGCACGTTCTTCGTGTACTCCAGAATCCGCTCCACCTTAGATTCCAAGCATGAAAGGAGGGGTAGGGCGGCGGCGACGGCACACACATCGGGTTCACGCGCCCGGAGCGGGGGAGGGGAGTCAAACCCATGGTAGTCGAGGCGCTGGCTGCCTTCGTTCGACGAGGCCGGAAATTCGAAAATACGGACCGTATACACAACACCAGTAAACGCGTGACATGTTTGGCTACGGAAGATGGTTGCTCGGCCGAGCACTCTACCACAACGCAACGACTACACTGTCATCCAACTCCTGCGCACCCCCAGTCGGTAGAAAGAACCTTGGTTTGACTAGGAAGCATGTTTGCGTTTTCTTTTTCCGCTCTTTTTTTGACGTCTTCACAGTGTTCAGCGGTTTACACAGCGCGGTCTATGCAAATCAAAACACACACGTGCACAGATCAGGTATGCAAGTCATCCGGCGCGCGGTTATCCGGTCGGTTCCAATCAACCAAACACACCGAGTTCATCTGCATCTCCAGCAGGGCGTGCTGGCGAACGAGGTACTTGACCGAGTCCGTGAACTGCAGCGCATACAGGAGGGCCAGCCCGGCCACCGTCGCCTCGATGTGGTCCTTGCCCCACCAGACCACGAAGGCCCCCGCGAGGAAGGCGACCGTGGCTCCGACGAGCTGGATGCGCACGTTGAACCACCTGTCCACGCGCGCCGCACAGATGGTTAGTCGGGGGGGGTGTGTGTGTGTGTGTGTGTGTGTGTGCTCATAGTAGTGCATGCCGTAGTCGTTAGACCATTGACCTCGCATCCCTACAAAGCCGGGACGGAGCACGCCGGGTTCTCACCGGACCAGGCTCTCACATCACCAAGCGCGAAGCGCCATGAGGTATTTGGCGAATCGCATGAAGGGTGCGCTGCATCCTGCTAAGGGTGTTCGGCATCTTGTGCTTACTTCCTTGCGTACGGATGACAGCTGCGTATGAATTAATTTATTTTCTGGTGCTTTCACTTCCAGAGACAGTTGTAAGCACTGTGTAACTGCCTCGAGGGTGCTTGACCATTTCAACACAACGTGGTGCGATCATCCCCCTTGCGCGGAGTGAGGGTTCTCCACCCCGCACAACATGATCTACTCGACCACCATTCATGGTTTACCTCAAAATAAAAACGGAGGTAAAAAAAAAAAACGGTAACCTGGTTGCCGAGTTCACGAAGTGAATTGGCTTGTTTTACAACGTCGTTGCCAAGCGACGAAAACCCAACCCCGATGGCAAAACACCGGGGGGAGGGGGGGGGGGCGTACCCATGTTTTGCAAGCCTCAGCGATTAGACCATTGGGGGGGTGGGGGGGAGGGTGGATGGGCACCAGGAACGGACGATGTGAATAGAGGTTTTTACGGCGGGTGTGTATGCCTATAATATGAAGGGGGTGCAAAACCCATGCTCCACCCAAAAACATTAGCTAATGAAGAATTAAACAGTCCGCGTGACTAAACAAGCACTAGCAAGATCCATGAGCGCTAGACCCCTGGCTTCAACGAAGACTTCGCTTGAGGGTTTCCTCAAACTGCGTCAGCTGCTGGGGGGAGACAAATACGAGCCCTTTTTATCTGGCCCCGTGTTGCCGCCCAAGGCATACCGCCTCGCTCGTGGTGTTGCACAAAAACCAACAACGTTTGCACACCTGTTGCTAACCCAGAGGTAAAAGTGCGCGCGGTTGCACCTGTCCACGCGACGACAGCTCTCCTCGACGAACCTCGCTTGCGCCCCGAAAGCGCGACTGGAAACAAAAACGCCCCAAGCAGGACGGTTAACATAACGGAAAAAAAAACGAGGGGGGGGGGG